CGATCGTGTATCGACCAAATCGCAACATTACGGAGCATTGTGGAACAAGCAATTGAATAGAACTCACCACTCTACAACAACTTCATTGACTACGGGAAAGCATTTGAGAGAGTGGACAGGACAACACTATGGAGGCCCCTTCGACACTACGGTGTGCCTGAGAAGATAGTCAACATCATACGGAATTCTTTAGACGGATTAGATTGAAAAATTGTGCGTGGAGGACAGCTGCCAGACTCGTTCGAGGTGAAGGCAGGTATCAGGCAAGGTTGCTTACTCTTACCTTTTCTCTTTCTCCCTGGTGGTCGACTAGATTGTGAAGACGTCAACATCTAAAGAGAAGCACGAGAAACAGTGGACGGATGGGATGCAGCTGGACGATCCGAACTTTGTGGATTATCTAGCTCCTCTAACGCACACACAACAACATATGCAGGGGAAGACGGCAAATGTAGAAGCTGCCTCCACAGCAATATTGAATTCTGATTAATTCACATGAGTGCAAAAGAATATGACCATATGCAACTTAACTCATCTAAAATTAGTGAGCTCCGATAATGATAGTAAATAAGTGTATTTAGAGTTTTGATCATAAACATCATCTTAATTGAGTATATTAGGGCGAAAGATTACTGAAGTGGAAAATTCTAAAAATATTTTATGATTAGTAAATAATTTACTAACTAATCCAACTGGAAATTAAAGATCTGCACTTTATCTAAATTTACGTCAAGTCAATATAACACACCAACACTTCAATAAATCACCAAAATAAATTATTTTAAAGAAAGCATATGTATTAGAATTCGTATAACAGTGGTTAGAACAGAAGTAAAAACAATCAATAAATGATTACACACTAGATATACGTATTTATATACATACTTCATATAGTTATATTTTATCATAAACATGATAGATTCTATTAATGTATTTTTACAGCAAACAAAACTATTCATAAGTGGATAGCATAAATTTTAATTAGGACAATCAACTATAAATGACTTACTTCATATTACTGTTTAAAATATATAAACACATACAAGTCAGATATTAAAAGGAGTGAAGTTGATTATAAATAAATTGGCAGTTTATATACTTAAAATAAAACATAATTATCCAATGAAACTGTGCGTTATTAAAAAGTCATATGATTAAAATCATCGATATATAGTGATTGATATCGGAAAGCTGGAAAGGTTATAAACTAACTTGAAACAACAGAAACCAACAGATCATGCTTGACAGGCTGATTTTTGAAAGCGATGGTTCAAGATTTGGTCGACTACAGAGATCAGAGTAATTCCACTTAATTGGTTACCATCACTGATCTCAGTAAATATAAAGCCTTCCGTTGATAAAGAGGAATCGACTCTCAAAGCTTTCTATAAATACTCGATACTTGACAGCTCTCAGATCTAGTTTTGGTATATTGCTTAGACAATTATCCTTTATTAAATTTTAGAACGTAAACACGTTTACTAATGTTCAACTGAATGTCTCGACTTTAATGCGGTACTGAACTTTATCAATTTGTAAAGCTTTATAGCAACGATTACTACCGAAAGGGGCATCAATGAAGTATAGGATACTGTTCTTCAGATCGTTCGTATCGACTACGTTAGGTAGTACCCGCTGAAGCTGTTTGCTTCCCTATTTTACTTAATTTTTTAATGGATATACCGCTCGATGTAAATAATTTTTCGTCAAATTACTAGTGAGTTTATTACGTACTCAGTTAACTTTTTATTAACATGAAACATGCGAGTAATATATTATTTTTAATCATGAAGATAACAACTTGCAGTTTATTGAACCACATAAGTCGTACTGAGACAATATTCAAAACTTTTTTATTCCAATAAAGGTTTAAAATGACAAAAATCTATGGGGTTACTGAGATTTAATCTAAGACGTAGTGAGAGGTATTAACTCTTTAACAAAGGTCTATAAGGTAGTTATAATCTACGCTAAAACAGTGCAAATGCATTCATTCTTCATTTCCCAACAAATCTACGATAAAATATTATCCTATATTGATCGTCCAGTTTTGTTTATCGTATGACTTATGTCCTCAATTCTGCGCTCATACTAACGTTATTAGGCGCAGTGTTAACTTGCTGAATGTATAAACTTGACTATTACCAAAAACTAACCACTTAATCTAAAAGAAGGTAGATTTTTTGATCTAAAAATATACATAACACATCAATGAAGCTAACATACAAAATCGATTATCCATCACTACTGAATCATTGTTAGATCTGGATCGAATCTATACTACTTAGTAATAAAACCACAACTTGTATATTCAGCATTTAAATACTTTCTGAGGACATATCCATACTGTTATCAGGCGTTTTAAAAATTGGTAAACTGAACGAAGATATATACAGTTTGTATTGCAGTTGACGAGTCTTGAAAACAGATTTATTTAAAACACACATATTGATACAAGGAGACAATAAAATATACATGTTCCACACAGTAAAAATGAGGATATGAAGAGAGGAACGATCAGTATAATAAACGAAAAGTAGATATATATTAGTGTATGACAATGAAAGAGTATTAATAATAACAACAATAACAATAATAATAATAATAACAGTTGGAGGAACAGTCCGATTAAGTAAAATACAATCGCAAAGAACCCCTTCAAGTAATAAAATTACCTTCAATTGTATCGAGAAAACGAAACTAAGTAACAGCAGGACCACCAGTGGCTTTTATTCTGTACATCTTTTTTTCATACCGCGACATCATCTCATACACTAGTAACCTGCCCTCTTTTTCGAAGCAGCCTCAGAGTTAACAAAAGTGTAAGATGCTGAATTTGCTGGAACGACATTAGTAGTACATGGGGTTAAGCAAGGCCGTCCAATCTAGCCATTCTTTATCAATTTCTGTATTCCGTCACCGTTTCTTCTGAAGGATTGGTGACATTTATTGGCAACATTATGTTAGTAATGCAAAGGTTAGGTAACGTATGTTCGGTTATAAAAACGTAATTAACTGATGTTACCATCTTGAAACACCAACTTTGGCGGCCCACAAACGAAAATACACACGTGATCCCATTTATGTTGTATGCCATCAAAATAAGCATAAATTAGCGATGCCTTTCCACTTATTTAAAAGCGCTGCTGAAAAGTCTTATAGAAATATAAGAGGAGTGCTCAGTTGACGTAATCGTAACTACATGAAGCACAACATTTAAGGCTATCCATATATTTCGTAAGCACTGAGAAGTAGCAATCAATTTGAGTAGCAAGAAACTACAAATGACAGACAATTAAAAAAACTTAACAAGTCCTTGAAACGATAGTATGGGATCGTGTTCGATAGCGGCCTTCAAGTTGGGAAAAAGCATGAAACTCGAAAGTATAGAAGAAAGAATCAAAATTATCGACAGTCTGGATAATCTAGTGTAACTCAGTAGAAAAATTAAAATTTTCGCACTGATTAGGATATTATAGATGTGTTATTCTTATTACTGAACTACATATTACTTCAAATTTAATAAACTAAATGATCTGCACAAAGAGCTATAACATTAGCTATAATCAGCGAAAACGATAATCATATCATTTAAGTTAATGTATTTCTGTAACCAAGGCAAGCCCTCACTTGGAACCCTCAGGGTAAAAGGAAAAGAGGAGGGCCAAGGAACACATTACGCCGAAAAATAGAGAAAGACATGAGAAGAATGAACAAAAATTGGACAGAACTGGAGATGGAAACCCAGGACAAAGTTGGTTGGAGAAAACTGGTCGGCGGCCTATGCTCCGTTGAGCGTAACAGACGAAAGTAAGTAAGTAAGTAATTTCTGTAACCAAATCTATTTTTCCCTCATAATTGCCATCGTTTTGATTGTATTGTATTGGCCCTACTCGTGGACTATCATGTACCCAAATAAATATTACTATTAGTGTTTGAAAGACATCACAGTAATGAAATGTGGTTAGGCTTGGCCACAATGCTTCGATTAAAGTATTATACTTTGTAAGTACGAGCTGTGTACTTTTCACGTTATTCCAGTACCACAGCAACACATTTGCTGTAGCCGATGTCCCACAACTAGTCAAACTCTAAGGATTTTCGGAATGTATGAGTCAAGAAGAAAGTAACATATTGAGTCAACTTTTAAAATAGCTGTCTCAATTATACTGGTGAGTAAACTATGAGTTGGGTAGCATGTTTAAAACATGTTTAAAACATAGGCGCCAACCAATCTGTCGGGAAGAATATCACAGTTGAGTCCGAATATTATGATCCCAGTGTATACTGGCCATGTTATTTATATATGTGGTAATGATAGCGTGTAGTGAGATTATATAAAAACGAGTTAATCGGTACAAAATTTCGAAATATATTTAGTTTTAATTTGTATGAAATGAATGAACTTAGAAGCAGTGTTTTGTACAAGCTGAAATGCTCATTAGAAAGAAAACAAAAGGCGTCAGTGTCATCGATGCCTAGAAAGTAAGAAAACCTATAGTGAACTTAAAGAAAAATGGTGAATTCAGTAAATGACGTAAATCTTTAGGACATTATGCACTGAAACTTTCACATAAAAACAAACACAGAACACCAACAAAGTAGAAGTTCAACACAACCGACCTCAGCAGTTAAAAGTGGAGCAATAATCATTTGCTTCACTATAGGTATGACAAGATACAGACTAAAGAGTACTGGTTTACACACGGATATATTTTTACATAAAAATGGTAGCTTTGGCAAAGCAAAGGGCGTACTTTTACATAATAGCTGCATAAATTGCTAGTGAATGTATGTCGCATTACTAGGTGAATGTGACAAGTTTCTGAAGAACAGAGCCATTAAACCAATATAAAAAACAAGCAATCGACATCTGCGGTTTAATATATGGAATATGCAGACTTTTTAAGAAGTTTACTACCTTTAAATCAAACACGACTCATGAGGATGTAGATCGAAGCCGATATACACTCAGAACCTCAAGTAAAATTTAAACATACCTTAAAGGAAGAGGATCATCAACCGTCTTGCTTGAGGCAGAAACCTCCACGCCTTTGCTTGTATTCAGATCATCAGAAGAGTGACAATCGTTATTAGCGTCACAACTAACAACTGGCACACTAGGTTGGTGTGGTTTGAAGAAAGCACTACGCAAACCACCGCCGAATCTTGAGAAGAAGCCCTTCACTTTATCTGTGAATAATTTTTCATTGAACAAAAAGATTTAAGTCACAAAGCAACAAAGAACTTAGATATAGGGGTTTGTTACGGAGGAAAATCATGATATATTTCTATCAGCGAAAAATGAGATTAAACTTACTAGATTCAGGTTCGTTATTCGAGGCACCGGGATCCCTTTTCTGTGGTATAAATTAACGGAATGTAACTCTCAAACCTTTATGAATGTCTTCATTTACAGTAAAGTAAAATCTACATTGAGTATTGCACTTTACATGACCTTAAAGTTAAGGGCAGTCAAACAAAAGTGTCAGTGTCCGGTAACAAGAATGGAAGGTAGGTGGACTTGTGGTAATCTCAGCAGTTTATTGTCCCGTAAATACCTGACTTCCACTTGAAAGTGTTCACTGGTGATTCTGACACCACCACGATCCAGATACCCACAGTATTCCGAGTTCCCCTGAGATATCAACGTCTTCATAATCCAGTCAATCGCCTGGAGATGATGTCAGCCTCATTGACTTTTCTGAAAACACCTTAGCTCTGGTGCTCAACACCCGACCACCATTAATTACGCCCTACTACATACCACTACGTAATAATAGCCAGCGTAGATCACATCTCGGCATACTACTCATCTTCCAAACCCACATACGATCACCTTTATATATTACTTCTAGTTTGACTGAGTTTGGGATACTGCATTTGAAAGATATCAAGGAAAAATGCTCTGCATTGTTTTCAAATTTTTAGGGAAAGTATAAAGAAAATCATACTGACCTGTTCGTAAAATACTTCATACTTAGGTGTTTAAGGTATTAAACAATATGGACGTATGGGCATATACAATATGGTCAGTTATACCCATAACTGTTAAATGATAATAACATCAGCTCGAGCTGAAATGCTTTACAAGAAATATCGTCTGTAAGATGATCTATGAACTTGATGAGGGAAAATTAGACTGAAGGTTCTAGGACACTACTCTTAGTGAAACCTTATGCCTAACCTACTAAAGCAATCTGAATAGACCTTCCGAAAAAGTGACACAATTTTTCAAGAAATATGATGAGACCTGGACCTTGAAGTTTATAGAGCTAGATGATGAACGCTTTTTAAGCAGTCAGAAGACGCGGATACTTTATTTTGAGTTGATATAAATAAATACCTTCGCGGGATTAGCAAGGTAGATCCCGATAAAACCAGAAGTCAGAAGGAAGACTGTTCTGGATGAAGAAGCATATTTATCGCTAGCCTTTTGGAATTGAAATAATATGAAGGCCAGAATAAATGAGCGGCTAACAACCACCGAGAAGAGAAGCGGAATGGAAATGTAACACGTGTAACCAGCAGTCACTGAAGGGCGGAGTGGATCTAAAATCACAACACACAAGGTCAGTTCAACACCTCACACCAAGAGAGAACACGAAGTGGTTGCCACGGCACTCTTTTATTTGAAAATTAAATACGCGGGATTTCTACAGAAATAGGGTGGTTAATGTACCAAAGTCTTGTGAGTCATCCTGTAAGTTCAGAGCACTCATGGCTTGTTCTTCAGCTTCCAAAGCGTTTGTGTTTGATAGCCCTGAAATAGAAAGAAAACAGAACGGGATGGCAACATCACACATGGTGATTTTGACTCTATTACACCACCTCCTCGCCTAATGAGGCACTTTCCCCAGTGCCTGGTCTCGGACAAGGATATGCTGCTCCTCCTTCAGCCGGTATCTCATAAAAATTAGTGGCAGGTGGTGGGTCTGTGAACCGAGCATCAGCAGGTACTGTTGTCCGATCTGGCTTTATTTGATTGTAGTGCACCGTTATTAAATCGTTTTGAGGTCGTTGCGGGTTACGTAACACAACCGTCGTGGGGGATCGGATGAGGACGATTTTGAAGGGGCCGTGCCTAGGCTGGTGGAATTTACTGCAACTCCCTATTGATGTCATGGGGTGGCGTAACCAGACACGGTCTCCAACTTTATACACTGGTCCTTGCACCTGACGGTCGTACATGTCTTTTTGACGGCCAGTAGCCCTGTGCGAGTTGATGCTGACTAAGCGGTACGCGTCAGCCAGGCGTTTACGGAGAGTAAGGATGTACGGTACGTTTTCTTCTTCTTCTTACGGTAGCAAAGGCGACTGTATCTCTACCGGGAGGCGTAGTAAAATAGCAGGTGAGAATCCCGTAGACCTACGTAATGATGTTCGATAAGCTAACATGCATTGAGGAAGCACCTCATCCCACAATTCGGATGACGATCTGCTGATGAACGGTTGTAAAATAGCTTTAATGGTTCTATTTGTCCTTTCGACTAGACCGTTACCTTCTGGGTGATATGCGATAGTATGCGTCTTCCTTATTCCTAATGACTTGCATATTTCGGCAAAGAGATGATTTTCAAAGGCTGGGCCTAGGTCGGAGTGGAGTGAGGGTGGGGCACCATAACGTGAAACCCAATGATCAATCAAAGCCCGTGAGACAGTTAGGGCGTCTTGCTGAGGAATGAGTACCGCTTCGCACCATTTAGTAAAATAATCAACCATAACTAATATGTAGCAATTTCATTTTTTTGCTGTCGTCAATGGTCCCATAATATCGGTACCAACTCGCTGGTGCGGTTCAGTTGTTCCCATCGGCATTAACGGTGCACGTGGTGTTTGCTTGGGCGATTTTATGCGGCAACACGTTTTATAGTTTTTGCAGAAGTCATTTACATCTTCCTGAATAGACGGCCATCAAAAGCGCTGGCGAACAGCATATTCAATTTTTCTTTCTTCTGCGTGACCGAGTTCGCGATGAACTTGCTCCACAATACTCTGGGTCTTTACTTGCGGTACTATAAGCAGGGGTTGTCTGGACTCATTACCGAGGAATAGCGTGTTACCATATGATTTTAAGTTGCTCCATTTGTTACAAATACAACACGTAGCCAGGGATTGGTCTCTTAACTCCGTCATGGACGGCTTATTGTTCCCATATAATTGTCTTTGATGAATAATCTGCAAATCCGGATCTGCTGCTTGCAGCGAGGACCAGTCGCTCTCTATTGCCGTACTCAGAATTGCAGCAACGGTATCTGTGGACAGAGGCAGGCGAGAGAGAGCATCTGCATTGGTATGTCTATTCCCCAGACGGTACTCGCATGTGAAGTCAAATTCTTGCAACCGTTCCTGCCAGCGTGCTACTTGTCCTTCTGGTTCGCGAAAAGAACGAAGCACTGGAATGCATGGTGATCCGTGAGCACACGTAAAGGTCTACCAAGTAGATAATGACGGAAGTGCTGTAAGAATTTTACTAATGCTAGCCTTTCTCGACGTGTTGTAGAATACCGTGCTTCGCTCTTGTTTAGTCATCGGTTGGTGTACGCGATGACTCTCTCCTGGCCATCTCGAGCTACCTGTGATAGAACTGATCCGATAGCTGAGGAACTAGCATCCGTATGGAGTATGAACTCACCTCCGTCTGCTGAGGAGTCGGGAAAGGCTAATATAGGTGGTGAGGTTATCCATGCCTCCAACGTGTCAAATGCCTGTTAAACAAAGGAGTAAAACATAACAATTAATGTTAGATTAATTACAATAATAAGTGTTTCCATTTCAAAAATTGTGTTGTCTTCGTAAAAGTATACCACTACAATTTGTAAGATGAAGCACTACTCTCTGAGCTAAATGGTTGGACTGAGAGACTTTTATAGCTATTCCGAACAATACATTCTGCACAAACATCTTGTAGGAGTTTGGACAAAACTGACCCTGAATTACCTTCCCTTCATTTTTTGTTATGATAAATGCTACTGTTGGTGGATTGCTTGCCAATAGACGTCAGATTACATTAGATGTCATGATCAAGTACAGAAGTAAATTGGAATAGCTCATCCTAATATAGGCCGCCAAAACAAAACATTTATGAGAGTTTGAAAGGATACTCATCAATAGAAGGGTCACTCAGTAAAGAAGCGCGAAGATTTACATGAGTTTTAAATGTAAAATATCAACTGCCTAAACGTCAGCCCCACTTATATCAAATAGAAAGAATGACTCGAATGAATTTTGTAATGCAGGAAACGTTCAAATGATGGGTGTAGCTGGAAAATTGTGTTCAAGAATACAAAGCTGTCTTTCACCCAATATCGCCGTTGACTAGTTTTACAACTTATTGTCATTGTATTTACATACATCCTGGTTCTCTGAAAATAGTGTTTGTTAAGATTAAAATTATTTGCAGCCGCTTTCCGTTCGGGGAAGATTGATTAAGTATAAAATGGTAAGGGAAGTTCTGCTACTTTCACTAAGCCACACGGAGAGTCTGGAAGAAAGATTTTCAGTCTCAACGAAAGTGCATAATCATCTGTCATATTATATTAGGCCAAAAGCTGTGTGGTTGAAAATAATAAAATATATCAGTCTTTCGACTTATGTGTAGTACAGATATGTAAAGGGGAGAAACAGCCCACTGTCTTCGTCGAAGACATTTAATTTGTAAACAGCAGAAAGTTCCATCCATAAAGAGTCAACTTAGCGGGACACAAACAGTAAGGAGGATAAACCTACCTAAAGCTGTTGAAATGGACAACGACGAGTGTTAAACCTAGATTACTAAGACATGTCTAACGACAGTGTAAACAGTTCACAGTTGTTAATTTATTAGGTTCATTCGGCTGTTTGCATTTGTCTGACTTGTATTCAAGTACCTTAATTTTCGAGCATCCCTGATTAGAAAAGTAAGTGTCGTTCAGTGCTCAGGCGTCAGTCGAAACCACAATCTACTTCGTGATCTACGATTCATCGACTGGTTTCCATTTACCACATGCATATTCATAACATTTTCTCCGTAGATTTGTTATATACTCTCTGAGGTGTTAGCGGTTGCTTGTAGTCTGTTTTTCGCCATAACACAATGATTCAACCCTGTGACATATACGACGTTTCTGAGTTGTTAAATCTGGAGTGCAATTTTGTTTGCGTGTGGGATCGATGAGCCAATATTTTGACTCGTTACATAAGAGGCCAGGTTTATTTACCCTGTTTTATTTTCTAAGGCGGGTGGCTTGGCAGCTGGCTTCCATCAAACTATGTATTTAAAGACAAGAACCCCTTAGTTTGATGGGGGATGTACGGCTGTGGAGATTGTGTGTGACCATATTGTAGGAAGACAGTTTCTTTCCAGTTATTTTTCGGTCGTAAACTATAAGATACATTGAGCCTCAATGAACTATTTGATGTTTTCCCATTATTTGGATCTTACAAATGCGTTGTTATACCAAATGAGAAGATAGGAGTGTTCAAATGCGACAGTGGTAGGGAAACATTTTAGGAGGAGATCAATAGAGGTCATAAGATAAAGGTGTGGACATTAAAGAAGTAGAGATTCGTCAGTTTATTGAACTCGAACTTTTGACTGGAATCGATCAACTTGTAATCGAAAAAATTGGGTATACTGCTTATAAAATCAAAGTAAATATCACGGCAAAAAAGTTGCTCAATATTATTACGGCTGATTCTCAATTCAATGGATGTGGATGTAGAGCAGATTTTAAGGACAAGATGTCCAGTTACTGGGTGGAAGACTTACTATCAGCTGAGTACTTACTTGAAAATTAGTATAGTCAGAAGATAAAAAACGCTATAGAAGTTGATATCAACCACAATGGATTCGGAAAGTGTGGAAAGTGCGAAAATGGTTTTCCTTTAAGAAGATCGGTTGGCTCTCTGAAGTAAATCAACTCTTTAACATCAGTATATCCATCCACAATCTTTTAAACAGCAATAGACTAATTTTCTGCCTCAACAAAAAACTGTATTTTAAAAAGCATATACTGCGAGAATACAGATTTCGCTGTACTTTGGAGAACGATGAAAGCAGTTATCTGGACATGTCGTGAATCTTTCCGGACCATTATGAAAACGATTGTGGATCAATTTTAAATGCTTGCAAACTCCTGGTATTCGTTATCCTGCCAGAGAGTAACTATAAACTTCATTTATATGCTTATCTATGTGTATATTATGCTAGAACTAGGCGCAGATATATTAAATCCACGGACGCGATTTGAGGTATATGAGCTTTATAAGTGGACTCATAAGAGGATTTAATCAAGGTATGATCAATGTTAGGAAGTTCATAGTGTGCCAAAACAATACTTGCATATCAGTGCACTACTATGCAGTAATAAGAAAATGTTTGAAAAATGGCATTCAGAATAAGTGAGACGTAAATTAACAAAAATGAAGACAATCGTTGTGTTAGTTCTTTTGAAAGCTTCTTCCGTGATAACTACCACTATCCAACGGCGTGAAGAGGAATATAAATGAGATAGTAATACTGAAAAAAATCCAGGCCATCAATATCACACTGAGAAAAAACTGCTTAAAAGATTATTTAAACACTATTATAATGTGTTAGTCATCGGCTGTGACCAATGAAGCAGAAAATTGAATGCTTAGTTTGAGGTACGAATTTCGAAATACTAGTCTCTCGACTGAAGTACACATCTGCGTAAATTCACTTTTTAACATTTAGGCGAAGAAGCTTTAGTAGAGGCTTAAAGGGTTAAACAGACTGAGTGGTCTCTATGAGCAGGATGTCAATCTCCTTGCAATCACAAAGAAACTTTGCTAAAAGACTGAGATTAGGGAAATTTCGTCAAGGAATTTCAAAAGATAGTGATCTATGGTGTTTTATCTCTGCTTGTAAATAATAACGATAATTGCGAGCTCTAAACTAAACTGTGATTTAGCTTTGTGTTTTAGTTGCCTGCTGCAGTGTAGGCGCTCCGTTTAGTTGTGCTCGTGTTCTCATATGGCGATGGCAGAGAAGAAAGCTGATGTCCCTCAGTTGTCTACAAGAAACTGGGTCCGAGTTACATTGACAGCTGCCAGTGTCAAACCACTTGAAAAAGTCACCGAAGGTCTGATCAAGAAGGCTAAAGATCAAAATTTAAGGGTTAAAGGCCCTGTACGTATGCCAACAAAGGTATGTGATAATTCCCTCTAAAATTTTTTCTAGGTGTTACGAATCACTACGCGAAAAACACCATGTGGTGAAGGCTCAAAGACTTGGGACAGGTTCCAATTTAGAATTCACAAACGTGTGATTGATCTACTATCGACGGACGAAGCTACACAACAACTTAAACATATCTACCTGGAGCCTGGTGTTAACTGTGATGTTAAAGTCGCAGGAGATTTGTAATTTGTAATATAGTTGTCTTAATTGGACCTGAAGCTTGCTATTTATTCAAAAATTCTGAATGACTAAACATGCCGATTATCGGAAAGTTGTGATTATACCAATAGTTTGAGGATTTGCATCCTACATCATTATTATTAGTTTGAGTGGAAATAAGATTGAGGGTTAAGCACAATTTGAGTCTGTAACTAAGTTTGGGCGCATCTTAGGTTGAAGGAAAATTAAAACATGACTAATCTAATTGTCAAACGTACGACTTCAAAATACTAAGTCTTCATTAATTTAAAAATACTCAAGTATACCAACCACAAGAGTGTGCGCTTGATTTGTAACTCACTTTTTTCTCAATAGAGATGCTGGCTGGAGTTAAGAGCATTAAGACGTAATTGTATGTAGTCGAAATTATTTGGAGTAATTTAGTGTTTTCTCTAGTGAGGTCGTAGCCACAGTGAAGATTAGCGATGACCAGGAGTGTAGCTGATTGTCCCACTACTTTTACGTGGATAACCCTTATGCTAGTCAGCGTAGATAGCGGTCAGTACGTCGGTCGTAGGCATTTTGTATCTAGTTGCACCTGGTTGATACTATTTGCCTGCAGGATATTGCGGCAGGAGCGATCTGTAAGATTCTTCCGCACCTGCATTTGTTATTTTCCGACCTCGCTATTTGTGATCATGTTAGTGATATGAAAAACCTTTTTATTTGTAGGGCCTTGGTTTCGTTTCATTTTGTGAGCTGTCTTTTTTTTAATTTACGTTAGCAGTGAGTTACGCTCTTTGTCCATAGGACGTGTTTAAGGACCATACTAATATCACATTTTGCTCTTATTTGTTTAACCATTTTTTAAAGTGATTCAAACCCTATGTTCTATTTCCTGTTGTACTGTTATTGAATATCAGTGGTTCTAGTTGCGTATTCGCAAAATGTATCATAATTCTATCTTAAAAGAAATATGTAACTATGTCGTGACCCATTCCAAGTAGTAATCCAGGCGATAGCTCATAACAGTTTTAACCAAGCTTATTACCACTCATATTTTGACAGCATGTAGTAGTAGATAACTGTAATCCTAAACGATATGTTGTTTAATATGTCATTTTTTATCATATTTTGCCGAACGGGTTGTCGTGTATTTTATCTTACGTAATGCGCGTAGCTATCAGTTTGAGCGAAAAGTAAGGCTAATCACATTCTTCAAATATTAGACAGCATTTGTAGTAAAACCATATTTCGGACAGTCAATTTTCAGTCGATAGTTAGCATAGCAATTTTCCTAAGAGAGATTTCATGTGACTGGAAATTTTTACTGCAACTTAATTCATAGGCCTTGTATGAAATGGGGATAGTGAAGTGTAGTTTTTAAGCTCGGTCTTGTTAGGGTTGTACTCGTACTGAATTCTTTTCTCCTCTATCCAGGTTTGAACCTTCACAAATATCATAGTCCAGGAATTATCATGGTTATGTTTTAAGGATCTTTTCTCTTTTTGTAATGTTTTACATGCTTTTATTTGGCATGCTTTTGCTACTCAAATGGTCTTTGGAAATGTCAACACAGTATGTTGTATTTAATATGCATTCACTTGTCTTGAAAAACAAATTGGATACTATCTTCTTGTCATTAGATCAGATGGAAAGCATGTAGATGTCCTACTTTTCCATTTATAACCCTGTTTTTCAAACCCATTGTCTCCGAGTCTTCATACTTTGAAATAATTTTCTTGGAATGGATCAAATTAACTGTCATGAGAATAGATAATTAGATATATTCCTATCATCACAATACGTTTCTTACGATTATTGGAATGTTTATCAGATTTTCAGATAAAATTATTTTATTTCTGATAAAAATGTATCTGTTTACTCTCAAATAAACATTTCTTTGATTAGTAACTTTTTATGCCTAGCAGACTAACAGTCTCTTTGAGATATTATCAGAATTTAAGTGATATAGCATATTAAAATCCATTGCCTGTTCACAAAATACTAAACAAATCAGCGTTGTAAATTTGCTAATCGGGGACGTATTATCAATATTCATTGTACCCAAATAAGAATAAGTTGATTATTCTACTATCAGGTCCAAGTTTTCACCACAACTTCAGAATAAAATGAATATTGAAGAAGTCATTGCAGTGATAATAGAAAGAGTTTAAATAGAGAACATATTTTAATGAATGAATGAAGATTATAAACTAATATTTAAACCCAAGATTTGGACGAAGAATGGAAGTCAATACATCTACACCACTGACCAATTTTTACTGGTCACCTAATTTATCAAACACGAAAAATGTTATCGACATGCCTGCACATTTCAGACCGATGTAGAGAGAAGTTCATTCGGAACCAAAAGATGTTCTAAATCATAAATGCGACTAAACGGATCTTCAGTATTCTTCGAAATCCAAGCTAGAGCCTAAGTTTTCATATTTCTAGCTGGTTATTAATATAAATTGGAAATGAATTGTTTAGTATCAACGCTAGCTTTATTTGCTCACGTCTAAATTTTATGAAATTAAAACATTTGTATTTTTGTAGTGCAAGAATACACTAGCTCCATCACTGAAATCAATAGTCAGCGCGAGTTCTTTATGGATACTGTTTCGTTTCGAACTGATTATCACGAAACGTTATTCTTGGCCTCCTGAAACCCCGTTCTAGACTACGTGTTGTAGCATTTAACGTCCGTACATTTTGTCAAATAGCTCAACAGGCTTTCTTAGCTAGGACCTTAGAATCTCGCGCCATCGATGTATGCCGCGTCTCCAAAACGCGCATACAGGATCCGAGTAGCGTCACTCATTTGACGTCACCATGTCAGTAAAGAATCAGCTCGATATACTCTTCATGTATCTGGCAGCCGTGATGCTGCTTCCTGGGTCTCGCCGGCGTAGGCATAACATTAAGTCCTAGGGCAGAACTAGCGCGCCCAGACTGGGTCCCAGTAGATAGTCGCTTGCGCGCTGTCTGACTGAATGGGACAGTAAGTACTCAGAAAGATCGGAAGACTTGCCGTTACCTCTTCGTCGTATCTATCTACACTCCCACTGACTGCAGTTCAGACGATGTGGAAGATGAGTTTCATAGAAAGCTTTCTTTCTCCCTTCAATACGTTAAGCGTTCTGGTGTAGTAATAATGGCTGGTGACTTAAACGCTAAAGTAGTCAGACTACGTGAAAAACAAAGACATCTGTGTGGATCTTCTGGTGTAATGGTTCAAAGATCAGATAGTGACGACCGTCTGTTGCAACTGTGCTCAAATAACCGCATATTTCTAGCGAACAGTAACTTTAGGCATAAGGAAAAGCATCTCTTGACATGGCGACCCCAAAAGTCATCTCAACGTCGGACTCAGTTAGGTCACATTGCTATCAATCACCGATGGAGAGGTTCGATAGAGGACTGTCGCTCGTTCTGGGGCACATGTTTAGGTTCAGATCATGCCCTAGTGTGAGCGTGTATTTGTTTGCGTTTTACCGGACGTAGGAAAGACACCGCAAATAAACCTCTTAGGGTTCTACCTAATGATAATGAGGCTAAGAATACATTCCAGGAACAACTAGAAAGAGATTTAGGCTACCATGTAATTGATTCCCATCCGGAGGCAGGTTGAAATTATATCAAAAAGGTTGTGGAAACAGCAGTGATATCTTCTATTAAGGTGAACCAAAAGGCTAGGAAGAAGGCGTGGGTATCAGTGGCATCCACCGAAGTGATAGACCGACAGATTATCGCACCTGGCTCTGGACATGATGAAGAGCGAAGTCAGCTTAAGCGCAGGCTGATAAAACGCCTACACAACGACCGCGAACAGTGGTGGGTGGCGAAAGCAAGAGCAACGGAAAAGGCAGTGGCGATAGGCAACAGTAGACAATTGTTCCAACTTATATAGGAAAACTGTATTAGGAATCAGACTGTAAGTGAGACTATCTCAGGAAAGGATGGTTGTATCATTCAGTCTCAATCCAGGAGATAGGATCGATGGGCAGAACACTTTAGGGATCAAGTCATTTAGCCTTCAGCAACACTTCGTTTTCCCACGATCTCCAGTCAATCTAAATGGTGAGTGGACTTTAGCCCTCCGAATCTTTATGAAGTTGAGAAAGCTATAGGAAATCTGAAGCGAGGGAGAGCAGCAGGACCTGATAGACTGACAACTGAGATTTTTAGGGATGGTGGTCCAGTTTTTTTAGCATTTTGATGGACTGAGATCTTAGGTAGAATCTGGGAATTGGACACAATCCCCCGACCGAAGCTGCTACCTTGACGTGGTGGTCGGGCTTGCCTATCGTGATGACCCAACCGAACTATACTGGCTGGAACATATGTTCCTGCAGGTTCTACCATGCCAGACAGGTCGATTGGAGAACGATGAGACTAAAAGCAGCTACCCAAGGTCTGAGGGCGAAGTCGTACTGCTGACTGCAGAGGGGTGTGACAGCAGTAAGGTGTTTCCCTCAGACAACCAGCATCTGCAGCGATGCTGCCTTCTCACAAGGAAGGAAGGGTTAGAAAAGGTCGGCCCTAAAAATGTCACACCTCCCCTAACTCACGGATTTCCGTCTCCCTGGGTAAGGGTGCCCACTAAGGGCCTTTAAGAACGGAGCTAATCCTCTAAATACCTTTCATAAAAAGGCCGTGCGTGACCGGCCTCAAGCACTTGTCCCTTGGGCTCTGCGGTCACGCACCAACACTAATCCATCTTCCTTTTCAGATCCCTCAAGAAACAACCTTCCACGGTGTGGGCAGCCGGGAAGTGACAACCACCCTCATACCGGTATCAGCACGCGATACCAAATTGGTCAAAATCAAATCCTTCCTACACCCCCTAATGTCTCTCTTATCTCTACGACTAACTCTACTCACACTACCTTTTCTCACTGCACCGCTAATGCAGACGAAGCGAGATCACGATTGGACACAATCCCATCCAACTGGTCCCAATCCTTGATTGTCCCAATTTATAAGAAAGGACTAAAGTCTTGTGACAATCAAAGGGTAAT